TTTGCATGTCTCTCTCATTAGAGCATAAGCTCCATGAGGGCAGGGACTGTCTTTTGCCTTTTTTTTCATATCCCCAATGCTTAGCACAGTGCCTGGCACATAGTAGGTCCTAATTAAATGTAGATTGATTGATTATTGTGAGGATGACATAAAATAATATTTGTAAAGTACTTTGCATAATGCCTAGCATGTAGTAGTCATTTAATAAACGCTTGTTCCCTCCATATTCTAAAATCTTTTGTGGCTCCTTATTTTCTCTAGGATAAAATAGAAAATCTTTAGCCTCTCATAATCTGTCTCCCACCTACTTATCTAATTTTATTTCATAGTATTCCCTTTCATGCATTCTCTATTCCAATCAAAAAGGCTTACCAGATGTTCCAGGTATGTGACATTTAATGTCTTGTCTTTGTATGATCTGTCCCCTGGGCCTCTCTTCACTTCCAGCTCTTAAAATTCCTACATTCCTTCGAAGCACAGTTTACATTTCCCATACAAGAAGCTTGGCCTCATCCCTCAATGTTCATGCTTACTGCCTCTTGAAATTACCTTGTATCACCTTGTATATATTTTGCGTTTACTTAGAATGTAAACTCTTCTGGGACAGGGACTCTAGGGTTTTGTTTGTTCATTTTTTTTTTTACCTTTGTTTCCCCAACATGTAGCCCAGTGTTTTGCCCCCAGAGATAGGGATTGTGATTTCACTGGTACGGGGAACTCCCAGGTGAAGCAAATCCCTCCACCAGGGTAGATCAGCAGTCTGCAACTTATGGTCTGAGTGAGTGGTGTAGAGCTAAATGATTTGCCATGGGTCACACAGTCAATACACATCAGAATACAGCTTTGCCTAGCTCTGAGGCCCACCCTTTATACACTTCATCACTTTGCCCATAGCTAAACAAATATCTGTTAAGTTAAATTGAATTTATAGCAGCCATGCCCCAAACCAAGCCTATGTGCTAAAAACCTAAAATGACCTAAAAACCATGTGACAGTTTCCATGATGCTTCAGACTAAAGCTTCTTACCATCCTTCAGGCTTTTCAGACCTATGAAACTAGATTTTCATGGTTATTAAAGCAAAAGACATTTGCAAGTATTTTGGAGAAGATCCTTCTGTCTTAAAGGAAAGGACATCTTGGCCCTCTGCATGTGAAAAGTGACTTGTTAATTTGGCTTGATTAGAGGATGAGATACTCAAGTCAATCAAATATCATTGTGAAGAAATAGTTGCCAGACGTGGATTACCAATTTTCAAATTGGAATAAAATGCACTTTTGGCACAGAAACTCTGCTCGTAATGTCATCTTGCTCTGTGGTGAATGGCAATTTAGAATCTTACAATGTCTCACATAATCCTTAGAAATACTAGTTATCATTGTACCAGGGAAAGATTAATGTGCCAACTGAGAGATAAGCCCCCTTTTTCTTTTTGCTTTTTTTTTCTTTCCTGCTCTCATCCTAGACATATTCCCTTGTTAGCTATGTTTTCATCACTCCACTCCTTTCTTTCTGTACTTCTTTATTCACTCTAATGCTAGAAATTTACCATCTACTAGGGGCCAGCAATCTGCAGCACACAGGTTAGAAATCACACAGGGATAATTCGCCACTATCATCCCTTTCTTTCTGTCATTTGGGGCCAGTTCTTGGCACTACCAAGTAATTCAAAACTAGAAATTGAGATGATGTCATCAGTGAAAACGGTATAAGAAAAAAGCATTAATGTCTGCTTTGCCACAGGACTCTACGGACCATGGGACATTTCCATCTGACTTGCAGCGGAAACCTTCCATATATGCTTTATCTCTCCTTAGAATGTGAGCTCCCTGAGAGCAGGGCATGTCTTGCTTCTCTGTTTGTATCCCCAATACCTAGCACAGCACTTTGCTCTTAATAAGTGCTTAATAAATGCCTTATTCATTCATTCATTTACATATGAATATATCATAGTATATTAATGTAACAATTGTAATTAGTAATTGATATGTATTTATTTATTATGCTCCTGAGGAGCTCATAATCTAATGAGGAAGAAAACATGCAAGCAAATATATACCAACTATATACTGGATAAACAGGAAACAATTTACAGAGAGAAGGCACTAGAATTAAAAGGGGTTGGGAAAGGTTTCCTGTAGAAGGTGGAATTGTAGTTGGGACTTAAAGACTCAAACTCTAACGTTTGAAAAGCACTTTACCTACATTATGTAGCTGGAACCTTGCAACAATCCCAGAAGGAAGGTACTTCACTGAAGATATATTTTATTGAGGAGGAAACTGAAGCCCAAGAGGATAGATGACTTATGAATAGTCACACAGCTAATGTCAGAGGGATTTGGACCCAGATCTTCTTCATTTCAAGTCTGCCATCATCCACTAAGCTACACTGCCTTTATTTATAAGACAAATATCGAATACAAAGGTTAATGTTATCGTCTGCATGCATGCAATTGTCTGTGTGTATCACACACTTTGTGGTTCAACACAGGCAAAATGTTCAAATTTACCATCAATGGCTCACTTCTGCTCAGCCATGGTAATGGCCCATTACCCCCTGCTATTATATGATGCATGTAAAAGGAATGAAAACTGGTTTAAGTATCAGCCCTAAACAAAATATGGGACAGCTAGGTGGCACAGTGGGTTAAGTGATGGGCCTGGGGTCAGGAAGAGTCATCTTCCTGAATTCAGATTTGATCTCAGACACTAGCTATGTGACCCTGGGCAAGTCACTTAGCCCTGTTTGCCTCAATTCCTCATCTATAAAATGAGCTAGAGAAGGAAATGGCAAACCACTCCAGTATCTCTGCCAAGAAAACCCCAAATGGAGTCATGAAGAGTCGGACACACCTGAAAAACAACCTAACAAAAAAAAAAATCCAGAAAATATACTTAGGAAGCTAAAATTGTTTTCAAAGAAGACCAATAGAATGCATTTCAAAGCCAAATATAAATGGAGTATCCCATCTATGAGTGTGGGTGATCAGCACTGACCAAGATGGAATGTGACCGTTTGGTCTTTGAAATACCCCATGCAGGGCCATCTGCTTTAGTGGGTTAAATGTTGGATTTGAATCTTGACTCAGTAACTTATTAGCAGAGCAGACCTTGCACTTAACTCATATAACCTCCCTGGGCTTCAGTTTCCTCATTTGTGAATTGTAGAGAGAATAAAAATAGACAATCTCTAAAGTTCCTTCTCTTCCAAGTCTAAATTTAAGATCCTGGGTATTTAATAAGTATTTTAATCAGCAACAGATAGTACTCATGGGTTGGAATCAGCATGTGCTTGCAGGCCCGCTCTTTCACTTTGTAAAAAAAAAAATCTGTGTCAGTGTCTCTTCGTTCCCTTGGATCTATTCATAGATTGGAATTCAGATCTGGCATGATATACCCACTTGTGTTCCAAGAAACCTAAAGCTCAGAATAAATGTTCCCCTGTTTGGAGAAGCCTCCCTATCTCTTCTTTACCCATAAAAAAATTTGACCTATCCTTCAATGGCCAGCGCAAGTCCCATCTAATCCACAAAGCTTTCTTTGATTTCTCCCTCACCTAATTTCTGTGGAGCTGGTCTGTACCTTGCATTTAATGCTTTACTATAGAAAGAAAGAAATAGAGATGACTTTTGTCAATTATTTTAGTACGTTGCTAAGGGCTATGAGCTGCCAGACCCAGGAAGGCCAACAACAGAAGCCCCCAGACTAAAATTAAGTCTGTTCTTTTGAACATTTTTCTCCTGGTGCCTACAACTAGTCAACTATTTGATTTGGGTTATTGTTGTTGTTTTTTTAATAATCCTTTTAACTACTGTTAAATCCCTGATTGTTAGTTTGGGGTTCCCCAAAACCCATTTCAAAACCCATACCCAACAATACCCCACAGGATTAGTGTGGGAGCTGTGAGGAGGCTCAATTCCCATAATGTTCCCTGATTGACATGCAAATAAGCCTAGAGCCAAGAACACAGCAATCAGGTAAAATTGTCAGGGCCATAGGCCTCTGCTTCTGCTCCATATTCATTTCTTTATTAAGTGTACCTGCCAGTAATAATCTCTCTATCTGTGTCTGTCTGTCTCTCTCCATCGCTCTCTCTTATTCTCCCTCTGTCCTCTGCCTTACTGCCTCTGTCCTCTTTCTCTCTCCAACTCTCTCTCTGTCTCTCTCCTTTTCTCTCTCTCTCAGATATGTATGTACACATACACACATCTCTCCACCTACATATGGATAAAAACATATGAATGTATGTATTATGTATATAATATGTATTGTTATTCTTTAATTGTTTAATGTGCAGATACTTATCCCTAGCCTAGAAGTGATCTGTAGCATTCATCTGAACTATATTCATAACACACCTGTGACCCCTACTAGCTGTATGATGCTAGGCAAATCATGAAACCTCTCTAGGTTTCAGTTTCCTTTTCTGAAAAATAGAGTTAATAATATCACCCATCCCACAGAGTTATTGTGAGGCTCAATAAGATAGTGCAGGTAATTCACTTTGCAAACCTCAAAGCCCTGTATAAATGTGGACTATTATTATATTTCTTTTCTATCTTTTTATAGTCCCTAGGACAGTGCTAGATATGTATAAACCCTCAATGGAATCACAGAAGCACAGAACTTTCAGAGCTAGAAGATACGTCAGGTGTAATCTAGACCCAACCCCTGCATTTTACAAATGACAAAACTGAAGTGAAATGACTCTGCCAAAGTCACACAGCTAATTAATTCATATTAGAGCTGAGACTAGAACCTGGATCCCTAAACTCTTCAGTGCTTTCTCTACTACATAACTGTTGCTCATTTTATTGAGAAGCACAGAAACTTACCATCTCAGGTCAAGCTTTTACAAAACCACTGCCTGGGAGCATCATTCAGTAATCCAAATGTCAGCATCACTACAGCCTGTTGATATACGTCTAAGATAAAGTGGTAGCTTAAGATGGGGCTTCCTGGTATGATGTTTTCATTATTGGTTTCTCTTGCTTTTCTCAGGCTTATGTGAAAAGGAAGAATACTACAGTTTTTGAATTCTTGAAGAGCATAGATCATCTTGGAACAACGAAGATGCCTGTGGCAGAGTTTCGGAAAGCCTTAACAATGGTGCGGTTCTACACAACGTGTGTGTGTGTGTGTGTGTTGTGCATGCCTCTGTGTGTCTTCATGGGATTCTAATCTGGGAAATGTGAAGTCATGTCACTGGAAATCCCAAAGGTTGTATTACCAACAAACATCCTAGAGGAAGTCTCCCACCCTTTGAGTTTTCTGACCCAGGCAACTAAGAGTTTGTAAGAGTTCGTTTCTCGATCAGTGTATACATGTGTAGGTGCACTTGTGTGTGTATGTAGGGTTTAAACTACACTGAGCTATTTGGGACTATACACACATAGATACACACATGTGCACACACATCCATATCTCACCATGTTGTTAATGATTGATAAAAATTTGTGCTTTACCTGCCCAGATATCAGTTACATTTTAATAGGATCTTCTCTGCCTTGACCCAAAAAAGTGATTAATGGGAAAATTTCAGACATTAAGGAAGGGCTATTGGAGAGTGTGTGTGTGTGTGTGTGTGTGTGTGTGTGTGTGTGTGTGTGTGTAGGACCAGATGGCCCTATATCCACACAGATATAGACATAATAGTGTAGAGTATATACACACATATATGTATGTGTATGTATGTATGTATGTATGTATGTATATATACATATCATCCCAAATATCTCAATATACACACATATGTGTGTATATACACAGATATGTCTCGGTGTGTCTGTATGTAATAGTGTGTATACATAGTATGTGTGTGTGTGTGTGTGTATATATATACATATATATATACACACACACACATATATACACATATATAGAATATATATGTGTATGTAGTATCCCAAACATCAATATATGTGTGTGTATGTGTGTATGTATCAGTGTGTGCATATACTTCACTGAGACATTTGGAATGCTATATATGTTTGTGTGTGAATACACACGCAAGTATGTGTGCCCCAAATGTCTCAGTGTGATAGAACAATGTATGTGTGTATATACATACACACATATATACATGAATATACATATATACAAATACACATACACATATATTTCTCCCATGTATATTCAAACTTATTCATACATACATTTGTGTGCATGTGTATAAGTCAAAAACAAACACTTTATCCATTTACACAAATCTCATAGTAAACTAGTAAATAGCTCTTTAAAGGATAAAGCCCTATCAGATATATAGAGATCTAGATATACACACACACATATACACATATATGCTATAGATATATATGCATAGTGATATATACATATAAATACATATGTACTCATATGTACACATATATACATATGCACATATGTATGTATTTATCTATGTATGTCTGTTTATAAATTAGGGCAACTAGGTGGTGCGATTGATAGAGTGCCAGGCCTGGAGTAAGGAAGACCCATCTTCCTGAGTTCAAATTTGGCCTCAGACTGTTACTAGATGTGTGACCCTGGGCAAGTCCTTTAACCTTGTTTGCCTCAGTTTCCTCATCTGTAAAATGAACTGGAGAAGAAAATGGCAGACCACTCCAGTATCTTTGCCAAGAAAACCCCAAATGGAGTCATGAAGAGTCAAACACAACTGAAGCCACTGAACAACAAAAATGTACTATATGTACTATAGTACTAGTATATGTAGAACTACATATAGTATATGTATATATACTATATGTATATATACACATAACACGTACACACACGCACGCACGCACTCACACACACACTCCCATAGCCTTGCCTTAATGTCTGATATTTCCCTATTAACCACTTCTTTGGGTCAAAGTAGAGAAGATCCTACTAAAATGTTAATGACATCTGGGCAAAGCACAAAATTTTATCAACCATTAACACCATAGTGAGAACATAGCCCAAAGGAAAGATAAGTCTTATTGGTGACGTGGGAAGAGGCTGAACAGAAGAAGTCAGGAGAAGGATAGCTGGGGTAGACTTCTCTAATGAGAGACTCCCTTTTTGGAAGGAAAGAAGGAAAATAAAAGGGATTGAAGGACTTTGAAAGAGAGATGGGGGGGCATGGAAAACAACTTGACCTTCCCCAGAATTTTGCCTAGTGTGGACTCATCCGCCTAATCCCTCTGGATCCTTCCCTTTTACTGCTCCATCATGGACCTGGCCATCAAACACAAGAAATGAAAGTTCTTCTTGACCCTCAATTCTATGATAATTGCTTTGGGTTGGTTGCCAATTTCAGTATCCTCCAAGCCTTCCATTCCCATTTCAACAAAGAAGGTCTACCTACCTGAGCAGTGAGAAGTGACTCTGAGATAGTACACAGGGTGGCTTTGGAGGACTCAGCTAACACGGCTTTTTTCTTCCTTCCACTTCTGCAGCAAACAAAGGTTCCTTTGAAAAGAATACAAATCAGGGAATTAATCAAGACACTAGACCCATATGGAACAGGGATAGTTGACTACAGGTAAGCCTCAATCCTGTACTGTGAACTATTATGGTAGTCAGATGCCATTTGCCCAGAATCATTCTTCATCCATTTCTAACTAACAGCCCATTGTATGGGGCTCTCCATTTCCACTCAGAAGAAATTGTCCTCTTGCATTAGAACTAAGAGAGTTGAGGACTCTATTCTCCCTGTTACCTGGGAGTATTAGCCCCACGCACTCTGCAGCGGCCAGCTGCCTTTTCCAAGGTCCCTGTCTGTGCCATGAGTAGCAGAGAACTGGCATTGTTTCAGGGTCCATTGACAATGGGGTGACCCATGGATAAGTCATTTTACTTCCATTTCACCTCAGGAAAGCTGACCCTCAGGTTCTTCATTTGGGGTTTTTTTAAGGGGGTGAGAACCAGACCTATTATTTTGTCAGGGGTTAAAAGGAAGGTAGGAGGGAACAAAAAAAATTAAAGGCTTATTAATTTAAAAAAAGGAAAGCTTAATTTTAAAAGAACAAAGAAATGGATACAAAAACACATTATTCTTGTTCTTTACTACTAAAGAAGAAGAAGAAGAAGGAGAGAGAGAGGGAGCTCCTAATGAGGAATTCTCTCTACCAGTGCAGACTGGAAACTGTCCTTCAATTTACAGAATTGTCTGTAAATTGAAATTTACAGAAATTGAAATCGAAATGTAAATTATCAGAATTTGTCCGGGGTCACACAGTCATTAAAAAACAAAGGTAGGATTAAATCCAAGTCTTCCTGATCCTGAAGACAGATCTCTATCCACCAAGTATTTGAGATTGCCTCAAGCATTTATAAAATGGGAATAACAATACACACACTTAATAACTCACAAGTTAATTGTAAGGAAAATACTTGATAAACTTTAAAACATTAAACATATGTGAATTATTTTTAGTGTTTTTCCTTTTGCCAAAATAAAAATCTGGTCACCCTGTTACACAAGACCAGGGAATGTACTAACCACAACAGTTGACTTAGTACCACATGCTGCATGTGCCCAAGGGTGCCAGGGAACCAGAAGCATGCTCCCAGAGGCAGGGGTGTGCTGGAGCCAGCTCTTAACAAAGTGGATGGATAAAATTTTCAGTGTGAACATTTATACCTCAAAAATCAGCAAATACTACAAATCAGGCCTCAGTTTATTGTTTTGTTGATTGTCTAGGCTTAAGAAAGTGGCAGAGAATGCTATAATAATTAAACTTAAAAGTTGTCTTTTTGGAGAGTCAGTTGGTAAACATTCAACAGCACACCCTGCCAAGAGGATGCACCTTTGTCCTTCACGATGTATATCTCCAAATCCCTCATATTTTCCCCTTTCTTAGAATTTCCTTCTCTAACCAAATCAAAATCTGAAAACCCTTTTTCCCACTAGTATGGGGAAACTGCCCCACCACAGTGCTATCCCTGAGATCCTAAGATCATGGATTTAGAGCAGGAAAGGACCTGAGAAGCCCCCTAATCCAACGTCTTTGTTTTACTACTGAGAAAAGTGAGCCTTAGAGAAATTAAGAGACTTGCCTAAGGTAACATAGATTATAAGTAACAGAGGCAGAAGCATCAGCAGCTAGGTGGTACAGGGGATAAAACATAGGACCTGGAGTCAGGAAGACCTGAGTACAATTCTGTCCATATACACTAGCTGTATGATCCTGGATGAGTCACTTAACCTCTGCCTTAATTTCCTTATAAAATGGGGATAGTCATAGTACCTACCTCTCAAGATTTCTGTGAGGATCAAATGAGATAAGTGTAAAGCACTTGATACATACTAAGAACGCTATATAAATGTTAATTATTATTGTGTGACCCTGAACAAGTCACTTAACCTCTGTTTACCTCAGTTTCCTTGGTTATAAAGTGGGAATAATTATAGTAACAACCTCCCAGAGCTATTATGAGGATCAAATGAGATAATATTTGTAAAGCACAGTGCCTAGCATATAGTAAGTGCTGTATAAATGTGAGCTGTTGTCATTATCAAGGTGACAGAGTTGATCATTGGACCCTAGCCTTTTAACACCAAAGCTGGTACCAAAACTTGCCACTGCCCTGTGTTACCTCTAACCTCCAAGAGGAAGCACAAGGACAGCAGAAGATGTCTCCTGACCTGACAACAAATTCCAATCATGCCCCTGATCTTCATATAGATTGTAAGCCCCTTGAAAGAAAGGATTAGAAGCTCCTCTTGGCATCCTCAGAGGCTAGCTTAGTGCCTCACATAGCAGAGACAGAGTCAGTACAGTAAGTGATAATGACCCAAGTGCTAGATTTGGAGTCATAAATCTCTCCTTTGACATTTAACTAACTGTGTGATCATGGCAAAATCATTTAATTTCTCTGGGTCTCATGAAACTCTCCTAAGACACATCTACTTGAAGGGCCAGCTAAGTGGCTCAGTAACTACAGCACCGGCCCTGAAGTCAGGAGGACCTGAGTTCAAATTTGGCCTCAGACACATAACACTCACTAGCTGTGTGACCCTGGGCAAGTCACTTAACTCCAATTGCCTAACGAAAAGAGAAGAGAAGAGAAGAGAAGAAGAAAGAAAAGAAAAGAAAAGAAAAGAAAAGAAAAGAAAAGAAAAGAAAAGAAAAGAAAAGAAAAGAAAAGAAAAGATAGAGAGAGCCCCAATACTCAGAAAATAGTAGCAGGAATAGAAGAATTAAAGGGTCCCCGCAGGGATTAAAAGTGCTAATAACTGTAGCCCACTTGAGAGGGAAAAAAAGGACTATGTAAATGCTAGCTTTTATGTTGTTTATAATTTATATAAACCTGCTGTAACCTCATTGTAATAGTATAAGCCTTGGCCTAGACCTATTATTGAGAAAAAAATCTCTTAGTGATATGACCAGTGCCTAGAAGTCAACAAAAAACAAGAATTTATTAAGCACCTACTATGTGCATGGTGGCTGCTGAGTGCCAACAATTAGTAGAGTGCCAGGCCTGGAGTCAGGGAGGTCTGAGTTCAAATTTGGCCTCGGACAAGTACTAGCTGTGTGGCATTGGGCAAGTCACTTAACCCTGTTTGCCTCGATTTCCTCATTTCTAGAAAATGAATTGGAGAAAGAAATGGCAAATCACTCCAGTATCTTTGCCAAGAAAGCACCAAAATGTGGTCACAAAAAGTCAGACACAACTTAAACAACTGAACAAGAACAAATATGCATAATGCTGAGGATACAAAGATAAAAAACGAACCAGTCCCTGCTCTCAAATAGCTTATAGTCTGCTTAAATATCACCTTCTGGACTGGTGTCCCAAAGGACATCTCTCTGGAGTGAGGCAATGTTAGTTATTAAGTTAACAGCTGACTTGGGTCATGTATTAATGTCTACATTTTCTTTAGATCTTCAAGAACTATGTACTTGTTTGATTTTTTTTTTAGGACAAGTATCTTCAGTAGCTACCTCAAAGAGTTGCTCTGTTATCATCAACTTTACCAAAGAGCAACATGATTATTTAAAATTATTATCTGCATTATATGATTGAACAATTACTCTGGGGGCACCCACTAATCATTATTATTTTCTTCCTTTTAAAATAGCGTATTCTATGAACCAAGTGAAGCAGCCCCAGTGAAATGAGAAGCAATACCACAGAGGAGAAATGAAAAGGAAGCAAGAAACTAAGGAAACATACACTAAAGCTTTATAGATAACTTTGTGGACAGCCAATGAAAAGGCAGGCTCTTGGAAACAGGAACTAAACCATCGAGTTTTCTCTTATGTTTGGGCTGCTGGTGGTTTGCTCTTCAGCGGCCGTGGACGGTCGCAGGGATAAATAGCCAGCCAAAGAGCAGGTGGCTTAAGGAAGAACTAGGCCCAAAGTTGGGGGTGAACTTCTGCTGCCAGAAGGTCAAAGATCAGCTGGAGGAGGAAAGGGTCATTACAGAGAGAGGGTGGTATGTTGGATTCTCAACAGCATAAAAGGATGAGGGGGCTTTAGAGGGTGATTAACAAACAGGAGCTGATTTGTCTGAGTAGTATAAGGGAAGAGAGGGCATGACTCATGGCTTTGAGGCGCTGCAGAGCAGTGGGAAGGGAACCAGAATGGGAATTGGGAGGTGAGGAATCTAGTCCCAACCCTGCCATTCACCAGCTGTGTGATCTTAGGAGAGTCACGTCACCTTCTGGGCCTCCATAAAGCTAACATGCAACTAGGTGGCACAGTGGATAGAAGGCTAAGCCCAGAGTCAGGAAGACTCATCTTCCTGAGTTCAAATCTGGCTTAGTTTCCTCAGACTCACATGAACCACCAATGACACATGGTTTGGGTCTGCATTAGAAAAAGGAAATGCCTACATTGACGAAAGCACAGATGTGCATGCTAAAATGGGATGGTAATGGTGATCACAAGTAAAGGAATGGGCCCATGAAATTGGACGTTGAAAAAAATTAGTAGCAGGAGTGTGTGTGTGTGTATGTGTGAGAGAGAGAGAGAGAGAGAGAGAGAGAGAGAGAGAGACAGAGAGAGACAGAGAGAGAGAGACAGAGAGACAGAGACAGAGACAGACAGAGAGATAGACACACAGAAACAGAGAGAGACACAGACACAGAGAGACAGAGACAGAAAGTGTGAGAGATAAAGAGAGAGAGACTTCTCAGGGGGCCATTTTCATTTACTATCCAAATTCCTGTGATGGAAGATCTCTTAATTTGCCTTCTAGAGCCTGTTCAAAAATGTGACAGATGTCACTGGACAGGCCACCAGACCACTGCTGGTGTAGTGGGGTAGGCCAGCCTACCACTGGCAGGATCATCTAAGCCTAAGGGGACAATAACCCACTCGAAGTGCGCAGAGTAGACAGAATTAGTATGCCACAGAAGCCTCATAGACCTGCACAGCAGGGGATTTCTGACCCAACATCAGCTAATTCCACACTGTGGCCACTAGGTGTCACCTCAGCTCTAAAAGTTCAAGGCTGCTAAAGGTCTGTAGGGAGACTAGTCTCATGGCTGAGGGCTAGGAGTTTTCCACAGTTTTGGCCAGAGTTTTTACTCCTGTCAGAATGATTTCCGAGATCCATAGTGGGGGGTGGGGGAGGCGGGAGGTGGCTATTTTCCTCCTTTCTTTTCACTTCTATCGTTGCTAGGAGTCTATTCTCCATGGTTGGTAAGGCTTCAAATTCACTTTCTATGAAACTTAAGCCCAGGAATGTTGGGACAGTTTCTTGGGATGCTTAGGACCTAGAATCTATTGATCTCTACTGTCCCAACCCAGCCTGTCTAGGATGCTAGAGATCTCCCTAATAGAGAAGCAAAAAATATATCAGCAATAGAATTGAAGAACTGAAGATTTGAAAACTAGATCTTGGAAAAGCCATTAAGGGGAAGTCAAGTCAAGAAGCATTTATTAAGTGCTTAACTATGTAGCAAACACTGTGCAAAGTGCTGGCCATATAAAGAAAGCCAAAAACACATTCCCTGACATCAAAGAGCTTAAATTCTAATACAGGAGACAATATGCAAGTAACTACATGAAAGCTATATACAGAATAGATTGAAGATAATCTTAATGAAGAGGCACTGGGAGATGGAAAGGGGCAAGGAATAGGACCAAGAGTGGCCTCTTGAAGATGGGACTTAGGTTTATCCCGAAGGAAACCAGGGGAGCCAGAAGCTGGCAGCGAGGAAAGAGAGCCCTCCAGCACGGTGGACCATGGAGGCACAGAGACCAGATAGTGAAAATGTAAAGAGTCAGAAAATGAAGCATCATGCACGAGGTGTAGCAAGAACAGTAGGAAGGGATGGCAACACATAGGATAGACCATCAGTGGGACCTAGAAGACAACAGCAGGGAATGGTAAAGTTCACCACAGACTTAGGCTAGAAAGGAGGAGGGAGTTACTAGGAGAAAGTTCAGGGTCAAAGACAGTCACTTCTGGGAGAAAATGAGACTAACCCACAATCATAGTTGAAGAAACTGAGACTCAATCAACCCTAGCATATTATAGTTTCTGAACTCACTTTGCAGCTCCCACTTGGACTAGCAGGTTGCGTCCCCAGAGGGCAGGCACCTACTACTTCTCCCCTCAGAGTTTTATTGGTTGTAGCTTCTAATGCAGTAGTATTACATATGACCAGGAGCCCCCATCTAGTGTGTTCTCCAATATCATGTAACCAGTTAACATTTCCTCCATGTTAATTAACCAATTAACATCAATTAGCTTTTATAAAGAGATATTTACCCAGAAAGTATAGTGAAGACCAAAATATAACAAACTGGGGAGATATACACTCAGTTCCTGGGAAGAGTGGATTCATAATAAAAGTGGTTGTTATGGAATAATCCTCTCTACTAGCACCACATGAAGAGAGGAAGTAGGATACTTCCTGGCCCCTTTTCTCCTTTCATAGAGCCCCTACCAAGCTCACTTCTATGAGGTGTATAGCCAGTAGATGAATCATTCCCTTGCTCAGCTGGACAGGCTCCTTGCTGGCCTGAGTCAAGCTAGATTCAGCTTCCATGGACACCAAGTTAATTCTGCTGCTATCTCCAGACTTAACAATGACTCTCCTGGTTTTTCAAAGCTTACCAGGCAGCAAACTGATCTGTTCTACCTCTAGAACAGGCTCACTTAAGAGCAAGAAAGGATGAGCAGAAGAGAAGAGAAACCCAGGTGTCATGCATGGACACACGCCGGCTAGGTAAGACCTAGAGACCAATGACCTTCCCTCTCCTGGACGCTCATAGCAGTTCCTCCTCCTCACTTGAAAGCCACCAGGGGAGAGAGAAACACATAGATACAGGCAGACAGAGACAGAGACAGACATAAAGACAGAGATAGACCTACAGAGAGAGAGAAATCATCTGCTCAAACTTTTTGTAGAAACATTCAGTTCTGGATCAACAGATAATTAAAATCCATCTTCTTCAGGAAACCTTTCCTAATTTCCTTTATTGTTAGTGCCTTCTCTCTATTATTATCTACAATTTAGTCTTTCACTATTTTGTTTGTATATAATTGTTTGCATGTTGTCTCCCTTGTTCAACTGTGAGCTTCTAGAGAGCAGGGACTGTTTTTTTCCCCCCTTTCTTTATATCTCCCTCATTTAGCATAGTGCCTGGCACCTAGCCAGTACTTAAGAAATACTTCTTGGGGGCAGTTAGGTGGAGCAGTGGATAGAGCTCTAGCCTTGGAGTCAGGAGGACCTGAGTTCAAATCCAGCCTCAGACACTTGATACTTACTAGCTGTGTGACCCTGGGCAAGTCACTTAACCCTGATTGCCTCACCAAAAAGCAAAAAAAAGAAATACTTCTCAACTTGACTTGGCCCATAGTATATGTCAAAAGTCTGTGTTGGTGGGAGAACTATTTCCATTGAGATGGCTCACGAGTCTATAGAGCTGCCTGAAGCTCTGAGACCTTATGTGACTTAACTATGGTCATACAGCTAGTGCCTAAGGTCTTGCTGACTCCAATTCCACACTTGGACTCCCAATGTGGATACATTTGCACTATGCTACCTCTCACTACCTCATAATTTATTAATAAATGTTTGTTGAATGAATGAATCTTTGCATATACATATGCAAAGTGTATAGATACAGTTCAAATTGGTTATCAAAAAATTTGAGTTGGGGGGGCAGCTAAGTGGCACAGTGGATAGAGCACTGGCCCTGAAGTCAGGAGGACCTGAGTTCACATCTGGCCTCAGATCAAACACTTAACACTTACTAGCTGTGTGACCCTGGGCAAGTCACTTAACCCCAATTGCCTAAATTTTTTTTTAAACAATTGAGTTGGAATGGATCTTAACAATCATCTGGAGCAACTGCCTCCTTTTATAGGAAACTGAAACCCAAAAAGGGTCAATGATTTGTTAAAGGGCACATGAGTAGCAGGTGGCAGTCAGGAATTGAACCCAGGCCCTCTGATTCCAAATCCAGCACTCCTTTCCGTACGCCATAATGTAATACTGAAATCTACAAGCGTTCAGCTCATCAGTCTCTCCACAGGTCTGAGCAAATGTCTAGAGTCATAGAAGGCATCTATCTAGCCCAATAATCTCCGCATTTTATAGGTAGGGAAACTGAGGCCTAGAGGAAGAACAATGGAATTTAAAGTTGGAAGAAACCTTACAGAAAAAGCCATAATGAAGGAGCTCTCCAACTTAAACTCAGTTCTGGGATTCTGCCAGACTATGCTGGTCTGCTCCTACCTCTTCTCCAGTTCTTCCAGCAGAGGGAGATCTGCTCTCACGAGTCCTTGATACGCTCATGATATTCCAGGGCTCCATTGTCTGAGAGGAATTTAAAAAAAAAAAAAACAGGACCAAAACCAGCTCTCCCAACTGAAACAATTTTTAAGTGTCTTGAAAACAGACCCAAATGGCAGGCTTTGGGAGACAAGGGTGCTCTATCACAGCTCAGAGGCTTGGAGGAAGCCTTCTGAGTAGCCAGTGCACCGGACCTAGCATCAGGAAAACCTAAGGTCAAATCCATCTTCAGACACTTGCTAGCTGTATGATCTTGAACAAGTCACTTAATCTCTTTCTGCCTCAGTTTCCTCATCTCTAAAATGGAGATCATAATTGTATCTACCCCTCAGGGTTATCATGCAAATCAAATGACTTAACATTTTTAAAGTGTTTTTTGCACACCTTAAAATGCTATATACTAGCTATTATTATTAGAGCTACAAGAAACCTGAGAGGCCACTGAGTCTAACCTCCTCATTCAACAAATGAGGAAACTGAAGCTG